GGATCGACAGGGATCCCTTGGCCGCTAGCTGAAAAGTCTCCGCTTGTTTGGTAGCGGAGCCCTGCTTCGGCGGGGCTCCGAGCGCCATAGGCTGCCGGCGCTGGCTTCCAGCGCGCCTGCCGTGACCGCAGGCCACCTTTGCGTTGCTTCAGGTGACATCACGACGACCTTCACCTCCCTGATCAACGTGTGTATCACGGCGCTCTTGGCGCTCCTTGTTTCTCCCTCCTGCTGGCTGATAGCAGGAGCACCACCGCCTGTTGAGCTCGCTCCAGGTTCTTTTTTCAAGCTACGAGTCCCGACCTACCCGATCCAGGACCTCAAGAGTGTGATCGTCGAGCTCGACTACAAGACTACACCTCCAGGATATCTCCCTGAGCTCATCGATTACAAGGTCCCTGTCGAGGAGAATCGGTCCTACGCCCATCCTACATCAGTGATGGCGGCTACAAGCTCGACCTTGCAGTCCGGCATTCCATTGACGGAGTACCGGAGAGACTGCCCGCCCGGTTGGGCTCCTGGCCTGCCGGACTACCCGCTTCGAATGTTCTTTGAGAAACTGAGGCTGTGGTACAGGATCTATGAAGGCCCTGACGAATCAGTGGGCCCTCTAGTGGCAGGACGATTGCAAGGACGAGCCCAAAAGATTGCCATGAATCTTCGTGTCATCCGCCCTGATGGGAACTATGACGTTGGTGACAGCGCTCTTGTCCGACTCACTGTGGACGAAGTTCGCGATCCTATGGATCCCAATGTGGTCTTGCAACCTCACATCCCGAGCGGAGTCTCCGTGCTGGCTTCCGCCCTACGAGAAGCATTCGGTCAGAGTGACCAGGAGCTCACGACTTCTGCTTTGGAGGCCTTCTTCGAGCTCCGACGTGGAAAGCTTTCGTTCCAGGAGTACTCCGCCGAATGGGATCTTCGCTATGAGGAAGCACAAATGAGGGCTGGCCTTGATGTCAACGACGTCGCCAAGACCTACCTCTTCTTCCGCCACAGTGGACTTCCTTCCAAGTTCGTGGAGGACGTGAAACTCCAGATTCACGGAGACATGAGTCGCTTTGCTGAAGCTCGACGACTTGCTCTCCGTCTGAGCAGTCGCAGTGAGAATCAGTCACTGTCTCACGACCTCTATGCCGAGCACCAGCACACCAACGACCATGCCGAGAACTACCAGACTGACTATGATCCGTGGGGTGCATGGTATGGCACTGAGCAGGACTGGACGTACCATGATGAATGGAGCTCAGAGCCATGGTACGATGATCCATGGTATGATGGCCCTACAGAAGAAGTCTGGTACGACGCCGCTGAGCACAGTTCTCCGGATTGGCACAGCACTGCTGAAGAATATGACATGGCTGCAGATGACCTCGAGAACTCCGAGGACTACTACCAGGGCTCCAATGACGGTTGCTTCATTTGTGGCTCTCGTTACCATCGTGAGCCAATGTCCAGCCAATCACGGAGGAAAAGGCAAGAGCAAAGACAAGTTCGGAAAGGGCAAGAAGGGCAAAGGCAAAGGAAAAGGGAAGAAAGGCTTCCGATCCAAGGGCAAAGGCAAAAGCAAGTACAAGGGCTACTATGAGGACTTCCAGGACTACACCACCTATCGTCGTCAGCCCGACTATGGTTTGTCTCTGGAAGCTCAATCGCCCACGAGCAATCGCACTGACAAGACACAACAGTTGGTGCAAACCACTCCACCACGCAAGGAGGAGATCTTTGCCTGGCGAGGCCCACCTGCTGAGACAACGACTGCAGAGACAACAACAGAAGCAGCAGAGCATCCACGGAAGCACCTTTCCTTTGCCACCACTTTGCACACGAACCACTGCACCTACCATACGGTGCGAGGACAGAAACGACGTGGCCTTCTGATCGATCCAGGTGCCGCTGCAGGCTTGGTTGGCAGTGACACGCTAAGAGATCTTCTCGATCACTGCTATCCGAATGCCAAGAACGAGACGATCTCATGGTCCAATTCCACCGCCACCATCACAGGCATCAGCGGCTGTCCAGATCGAGCCATTGGACGTGTGCACCTCAAGCTTCCGTTCAAGGGCCTGGATGCTACCTACACGGCCGACGTGATAGGCAAGGAAGGCTCACTTTGCCCAGCCTTGGTTGGCAATCCGGCACTTTGCGAAATGAAGGCATCATTGCATTCGTGTTGGTTTGACAACAACGACGGCCTCTTGGTGACCTGGACGTCCACCTCTCAGAGTTCAACCATGGCAGACGTTCATCTCTTCAGGTGTCTGCTGACAGATTCCGGTCATTATCTTCTGCCTTTGGATGATCAAGCAGCCGCAGTACATGAACCACAACATGATGTGTGCCACTTCATTCGGCAGATCTCTGAGATGTCCAAAGCTCATTGGCCAGATCATTCCTACACGTTCTGGCAACAGGTCACCCAGGCAGCAGCAGACCCAGGACAGAAGTGGAGGTCCGCAGAGCCGACATCTTCATGTACTACGACAGTTGAGCCTGCGGATACAACACAAAAGAAAGAAGTGTCCTTTGCCGAACCTCTTCATGAAGTCCGTCAACTGCCCGATGATTCCGCACCAGAAGAGGCTCCAAAAGAGGAGCGTGTGAAAAGTGAAGAAGTGCGTGTGATAAGTGAAGATTTTCCGAGACCAGCAACAGAAGAGACCCAATCCTCCGACCTCACTGAGGAGATCTTTGCCACGAACCTGAGTGATCTGCCTCTCTACACTCAGGATGAATATCCAGCACATCTGACAGCTGAAGAATGTCAACGGCTGAACAAGGACTACAAAGCAATGCCTGAGGAGTTCTATGTGAAGTCAGGACGACGAGTGGTCTCTCCATCCACCTTTCCACGATGGATCAAAGAGGCAAAGCGCAACAAGACCAAGTGGCATGGCTGGGAACTATGTTCAGGTTCTGGACGCTTCACCTTGCTATGCGTGCTTTCTGGCCTATCCATGGGCTTTCCTGTTGACTTCAGGTATGGCTGGGATCTTGGCCTACCAGAGCACCAGAAGATGCTTGATGAAGCCTACGATGTCTGTCGTCCAGACTTCCTGATGTGCACTCCTCGATGCAAGTTCTACAGCATCTCCTCGTCCAGGCGAGACAGACGAGATCTTCTACGAGATCGTGAGAAAGAGAGACCAGCACTGGTCTACGTGCAGAACAAGCTGGCCCAACAAGTTCAGAGAAAGAAGTACTATGTGCTGGAGCAACCATGGAGCTCAGCTATGTGGACAGAAAGTGTGATGATCCACAACCAGCAGTTCCATGGATACCGGAAAGCAAAGAGGACAGATCAGTGCGCCTTTGGAGCATGTGATGAACATCGACAACCTGTGCTCAAAGCCACCGGCCTTGAGGCCAACTTCAAGCTGAGAGTAGCTGTTCGCCGATGCAATGGCCATCGAGGAGTTCCACACACACCTCTTCAAGGCCAACACAATGGCATCAATCGAACAGCAATGGCAGCAGTTTACCCTCAGCGCTTTTGCAAAGCGCTCATTGAGGACGTCATCCACACCATTGCTCCTCATGGTGGCCTTCGCCCCAAGATCCTGCACAGCTTGGCGCAGACAGCAATCTACTACAAGTGTGAGCGCTGCGAGTTGGGACGAGCTGCTCTTCCTGGAACAGAACACACCTACATTCCAGGAGAATGTCGTTATGGAAGAAAGCTGGAGAAGATGGCAACTGCAGCTCCATCGACACCGTCTATGGCATCGTCCCCTCTGGAAGACTTCAAGAGAGCCGCACGCTCGCATGCCAATGCCAAGGCAGTCACTTTGACAGCGCCTGCTGATTACAACTTGTCTCCTGAAGATCAAGTACATCTCAAATACTTGCTGTGCAAGATCGTGGAAGACAGCATGTCCGTCTTTGAAGCTGCCGGTGGAAAAGAATATCACTACTGGCTCACTGATCCATCCTTGATGATGGCGGCCAAACACGTCCTCAGAAAGATCCTCTACGTCTTCGGAGTCCACGTGGTGCTTCATCCATTTGCCAAACCATTTCCAGAGCCTCACCTCTCTGCAGAACAAGCGCCACTACGATTGATTTGCCGGGGAACCTATGAATCATGGCAGGTTCATTCCATCGAGGATTTGAGAGAACTCTCAGCCTCCCAGCAAAGGGAGGCCATCGAAGAAGAGAATTGGCTGATCGCATTTTTCGGCAGCTACGATCCTCCAGCGTCCGCAAAAGGAGCGCCTCAGACTCCATCTGGGACATCTGCGCCGATGACGCCAATGCCACAAGCTGCCTCAGAATCACAGGCCATCGTTCCACGACAATCAGCTGAAGATTCTGCACGGCCATCCTCATCTACAGCCATGATGCCCTATGAAGGAGTCGACACAACAGCCATCGAGCTAAGAAGTATGAAGCCTCTCTACAGCATTCGACGTGTCCTTCATCGACTACCTCAAGAGATCAAGAAAGACACAGTGGCAGCTCGACGCCTCCTTCTTGGGCTACATGAAAAGATGTGGCATGCTAACGCCACGGATTTCTCCAACCTGCTCCTCAGAGCAGGGATGCCTCCTGAAGTAGTGCAAATGGCTCATGAAGCAGTGGCATCATGCCCCATCTGTCGACGATATGCACGGCTACCAGCCAAGCCAAAGACCAGGGTCTCATTGGCAGCACACTTCGGCGATGAAGTGGAGATGGACATCTTCTATCTGTGGTCAAAGCCCTTTGTTCTCCTCATCGATGTGGCTACACGCTACAAGGTGGCGTACCACACCAAGTCACGGGAGACAGAAGAACTGCTGCGTGGATTGCTCCACCACTGGATCCGATACTTTGGTCCTATGCGGGTCCTCACTTCAGACCAGGAGAGTGGCCTGATGAGTCCTTCAGCAGCAGTTGAGTTCGAACGCCTGAACATCGAACGAAATCCCAAGGGCACCACTTCAGGCGAAGCAGGCAAGCAGCATACTGGAACGGGCCTTATTGAGCGTCACATCAGCCTCGTGAAGCTCACCATGCAGAAGGTCAAAGCTGAGTGTGAACGCCAGTCCTTGGAAGTTGAAGATGAAGACATAGCTGCTGAGTCATGCATGAGCCAGAACATGACTATGACCTATGGAGGCTACTCGCCATCCATGGCAGTGTTTGGAGTGGTTCCTCGTGCCTTCTATGAGTTCGAGACCCCGAACATCACTGCAGTCACTGGAGCACAAGATCGAGATCTCTCTGTTTTCGAGACTGCAATGAGGTTGAGACAGATCTCCTTGACAGCAGTTCAGCAGTCAATCATGCAGGATCGCCTGGCACGAGCTAGCCACACTCGAACACATCAACTGGACCTGTCTCAACTGACTCCTGGCACTTCCACCATTGAGGTATATCGAGATGGTGCTTGGAGAGGACCAGCCACACTCCTTGAGGCCAATGCAGATGAGGGCACATCCATTGTCAAGCACCAAGGCAGACCATACCTCATGCCGCTGCGCTTCATCAGACCCTTCAAGGGCGTGTTCTACAACGTGGACACTTGCGCAGAATCCATGTATCAGTTGATGCAATTGGTCGAAGAAATCCAGCAATACAAGCAAATGGTCCTCGGCTACAAGCGAATCATCACTCCTGATGGCCTACAGTGGAAGACTCTGCCGGTACAACCATCTGAGGCACAGCAACAAGTTCTTCAGCACTTCACTCAATGGACAAGTTGGTTGCAGCACAACATCCACGGCATCATCTATGGCCAAGCCTTGAGGACAGTGACCCCTTTTCCTGGCACCAGGGGCACTTTGTTTGTCTGGCAAAAGGGGACAGCCAACTTCGTGAGGATGCTGAAGCAAGACGATCAACAAATGAGGATGAAGAACCTTCATGAGGCACAATGGGAGCATCTATGTGTTCTCTACATCTACTACTACCCCGAGACGTTTGAAGAGCCTGCATCCAGTTCACCGGCATCAGCTCCGGAACGGGCACTTCAGATGGATCCAGATGCACCGCATCCTCCAGCCATCGTGCCTGATGACACATCTATGTCAGAAGCTGCAAGCGTGCCAGTTGAACGCATGGAGATGGAAGATGCGCTGTCATCGGTCATCCCACAGTTACCTCAAAAGAGAGAGACACCACCATCACCGACGCCAAGCACAATGCCACTGCCGGAGAAGAGACTGCGACTTGATCACCACACACAGAAGGAGAAGAAAGACTTGAGGTCGCTTGCATCGACCAACGAGCTGGAAGGACACTTCTCCATTGTCACCAAGGAGTACCAGAACCTGCACACTCTCCACTGGCTGATGGATCGACAACGTCGACACCGCCTTTACACCCAAGATCTGTGGGAGGAGTGCTACGTAATGCCGAAATGGTACTACAATTTGACAATGAAAGATGTCCTCACCAGGTCAGTGCACCAACATGCTCAAGTACATCGAGAACATGAACAATACCTGGTGCACTGGTATGGACACAAGCATAAGACCTTCTTTGTGGACATGGCATCCGGCGGCAGTTTTGCTTCAGTCACAGCAGAAGACAATATTGCCGAGAAGGACCTGCCATCAATCTGGCCACAAGTCGAAGAGGCCGATGCCAAGGAGATTGCACAATTCGTCCATGAAAAGGCCTTTCAGAAGATTCGACTTTCTGAAGTACCTCCAGGCACGGTGATCGTTGATGGCACCTGGGTGCGACAATGGAAGATGAAGAGTGGATCACGCATCATCAAGTCCAGAATGTGTGCCAGAGGATGCTTTGATCCTCAGAAAGATTCACTGGCCACGAGATCCACCACAGCCTCACGATTGTCACAGAGGATTTTGATGTCCACAGCAGCAGTCATGCACTCAGACCCAGAATCGTGGGACGTGTCAGGCGCTTTCCTAAAGGGACTGTCTTTTGATCGCATCCGAGAGATCCTCCTCAAGCAGGGCATCAAATCACCAGCTCGTGCAGTGGTACTGATACCACCATGGAACACTTGGCGCCACCTGGCTGCGGTCGACAACAGTTTCCAGGTGAATCCAGAAGACATTCCACTGTACGGACTATGGTGCCTCAAGCCCATCTACGGCCTGAATGACGCCCCGGTTGCATGGCAGCTGTCCTTGGGCGAATTTCTCAAGAAGACCAAAGGCCATCCAAGCAAGCTAGATGACAGCTTCTTCTTTTGGAAGGATCCACGAGCAGATCAACCTCTCCTGGGAGCGCTCACCACTCACGTGGACGACCTCGCTGTTGTGGGATCGAAGAAGTTCAAAGACCAGCTGTTCAAGGCCATGTGCGATGAGTTTGGCCAGATCTCACGTGATGCACTTCCTTTTGCGCATTGCGGCTGTCAGTATTCCAAGACCACCACAGGCTACTGCATTGATCAGACTGCATTCGCCTCTCGTCTGAAGCCATCAGACAATCCAGAAGGATCTGACGAACGAGATCTCACTCCGTCTGAGCTCACACAATTTCGTTCAGTCCTAGGAGGACTTTTGTGGCTCTGCAGCACCCGTTTGGACATTGTGGCCGAAGTTGGAACACTGCAGTCCGTCATCACCAAATCCAAGGTCAAACATCTTCGACAAGCGAATCAGCTGGTGAAGAAGGCATGTGCCAAAGACAAGTTGAGCCTGGGACTCCATTATCGCTTCTTTGAGCCCGGCACCAAGATGCGACTTCAATGCATCCATGATGCGAGTTCTGCATCAAAGGACAAAAGCTATGCTCAAGAAGGCATGATGATCCTGCTCATGCCCGAGCTGCCTCCAGAGATGCTGAACCAGGACGACATCACATGTGGAGAACCAGAGATTCAGCATTTGAGCAACTATGGCCATTTGTTGTTTGCCCACGGAGGAAAAGCAAAGCGTGTGTCCTACAGCACCTCCCATGCAGAGACGCTTTCTGCAATTGGTGGCCTTGAAGCGAGCAGCATGGTGTCTATTCGTTTGACGGAACTTTGGATTCCTGAACCAAGTCCATCACTCAAGCTGCTCACCGAGTACCAGGAACAGGGCTCAACAGTCTTCCCGGTGGATACGGCAACAGATTGCCGTGACTTCTTCGAGCTATGCACTGGAGCTCGCTCAGTACCACAGGATAAGCTGCAACGGCTATACATCCTGGCTTTCAAAGAAGCAAGAGCTACAGGTCGGCTTCGCTACATCATCCTCACGCCCACCGAGTACATGTTGGCAGATGGATTGACCAAGACGATGACAGCACCTAAGCTCCTGCAATATCTCAGTACAGGCTACGTTGAATTTGGCAACGTTGACAAGCACTCAACGCTCCTTCGTCGCCTTCCTGTCCTACATGATCTCACGGAGAATGACCTCTACAAGAGTGACCAAGAACTATGGGAAGAGACATGGAAGGGAAGAAAGACTTCAACGAGTACAAACTTTGCTTTGATGGCCGTTTTGGGACTGACCCAAACCATGGCAGCAAAGGTTTGTTTGGCCTTCACCATGTTGAGCCTTGGAGCACAAGCACAAGTACAAGAACCAGTTGAGCCGCCAGGAGATTGGATGTTTTGGATCTTCATCGTCCTGGCGTACCTTGGGCTACGAAGCCTTGAGGGCATTTTGACATGGGCTTTCCGCAAGCCAGAAAAGACGAGAAAGAAGGCTCCACGTACACCTTCACCTTCATCGAGCGAATCGCCTATGGCAACTTCCCGGCCGATGAGAACCACGCCTTCACCGTCTATCGAAAGGAGGACACTCGGTCCTGAGTTTGAG